CGGCCAGGATTCCGGAGCGGAGCCCACCCCCCCGGGGGAGGGGGGGAAAGGGCCCGGGGCCTGCCCGCGCCGGAGCACGGCGGGGACGGTGACAGGCGGCGCCGCGGCCGGCGCGGAAGGAGCGGTGCGGCTCGGCGGGCGGAGAGGAGCGGGCAGGTGCCCGGGGGCGCTGCGGCCGCGGCGGGGCCGGGCCGGGCCGGGCCGGGGGTCCCGTCGGGCGTGAAGCGCCGCGGCCGCCGCTGCTGCCGCCCGCGAGCTCCGCCCCGCGCGCGCCGGGCCCCGTGACGGGAGGAGCGCGAGGCGTCACCGCGCGGCGGCGTCACGGACGGGGGGCGGCGCGCGCCCGGCGGCTGCGGGGGCGCGTGCGCGCCGGGACGCGCCCGGGGTTCGAGTCCCGCCGGGGACGCCCCGCGGCACCCCCGGGCCGAGGGCACCGGGGCCGGGTGGCTCCGCCGCAGCGCCGCCGGACAGGCCGGTGGGTCAGCTCACCGCTCCCGGACAGCCGAGTGTAAGAGAAGCCCGGGCTGGTGCCGTTCCGCGGGATCGGCGCCGTGCGAGGGCAGGATGGGAAGGGGCAGCGCGGTACCACCACTGCCATCGCTCACTGTATAAATCCCGGCCCCGCCGCAGCCCGGCGCAGGACGCGCCGCCCTGACCTGCCTCTTACGGGGGCTGTGCGCGCTTTTAGGACGATTTGTTTAGAACGGCGCTCTGCCGCCTTCGGGACGCCCATTTCTGCCGGCACAGACTGACCGCTCCGCAGGAGGCACCTGCTTCCCGCAGGAAGTCAATGCATGCAAGGAAGAAGGATGCTACCCTCAGTTAATCAGCGAGGAAGCAGTCCCTGGTACGTAGCAGGCCAGCTATTACAGCTACCCTTGCGGTCTTAAGTAGCCGATGACGGTAAATAATAGCATGGCACTGTAATTAGTTTTGTACAGATTTACCAGTAACCTTACAGGCATGACTACTGTGTGCGAGATGCACAAATGACCTGTGCATGTTTAGTGGATGCCCTTTGAGACACTGCCAGGCCCGGTGTGTTCACACAGAGCTGTACAGAGACAGCAGCGACCTTTGCTGGGGCACCTGACTCCACTGCTGCTCACATGCTGCTTTCTGGGCATGTGCTAAGAGGTATTTAACATGTAAGACAGCAAGAGGTTTGCAAATCCTGAACAAGCACTCAAAATCTACCCAAAACAAGGGTTGGGGGCTACATTGGTCACCCTTAACAAACATGTGAAATAATACTTGAACAGAAGTTTAAGATTTACATATCAATTTGCAGTGGGAACCACATATAAAACTAAGTAATTGCCCGCAAAGTCCATAACCTGATTGAGATCTTCTACCAAAATAGACTTCAAAGAATTATAAAAGAAAATACCATCATAGTCTTTAAAAGGCACTGAAGAAGCCAGTGCTAAAGAGCATCTGATGCAGCACATCCAAGGCACAAGGCACCAACTCACTGATCCCAGAGCCATCATGCAGGGGACATTGTCATCTCAAAGCTAAGACACTTTGCTTCAGACTTGCGAAAATTGTGTCAGTGGTGTTCACAAGACATTTGTCATGATTAAGGGTCTTTAATTGGGAAGTTAAAAAGGTGACCTTTACTGCCAAACAATAGGGAAACAGCCAAGAAAATGCTGATGTGTGATGCTCCTGCACCATCAAGCAAAATCAATGAGCCACAGCTGCTTACACAGCTTTGAATACACATCCAGTGTTTCCCTTGCCTTAATGTTCCATTTCATTGCCATTTGTCAGCTTTAGTGTTTTGTATCTGGATTTAACTGATGCAGGAGGGCTTAGCAAATGGAAGGTTTTGAAGTCAAAGTTCTTTCACTACAGAAGAAGCCAGGAAGGATTGTGGAAGATCATCCCACAGTTCTCTGCCCATGTGAGCTCTGTATTGCTGCACAAAGCCTGCCCAGCACAGAGCAGCATCCCGAGACTGCCATGCAGAGGTGATGTACATCCTGACAGGCATCAGTGTGATCATGACATAATCCTGAAAGCAGAGCATCTTCAGTATCAGGAACAGGATAAACAACTAAATATTGACTTTGAGATAGAAAATACCTATCAACATCAAGGATCAGCACCTATGATACTGTCTCACACTGAGCTCAGCCCAAACCCAGGGGCATGGCTCTGGGATCATCTATCATCCTACCAGAGTAAAATAAATCTTACAGGCACAGTGTAATTGCTGATTTGGAAAATAACAGTAAAAAATAGCTGACAGGAGTTGAAATAAAGTATATCAGTTATTTATCCATTCAGTTCAAACCCTGTACAGGTGACAGAAGCTGGGAGGTGTGGGGGTGGAAATTACAGAGTAAGCACATCTCAGGATAGTGTACTCAAGCAATTGACTGAAATCTGGCAGAATGGCTCTCCCTGAATTCCAGAATCAATACCTCATTGCAATGAGAGGTTCTTACCTCCTACATGTATTGCTTGAGGCTATACATGTGCCTGTGTTAGTTGACACTAGATCCACAGCTTCTAAACTCTAAAAAGGAACAAACCAGCCCCTCTTCAGAGCCATGCCATCATTCTCCTTTTTCTCCCAAGTTTCTTTGCCTCCCCACCACTCCTTCCTATAGATGGCACCGTATTACCACGTTTTGAATGATATCCAGAAAAGGGTAAGTTAGTGATTAATTTAATAAATATTTAATCAAAGGAGGGGTTAACTGACAGAGGAACAAGCTGCTGGAGACAGAGCAGATAACAGAAGTCAAAATGCCTTCTTCTGGGAACTGCAGTAGGGTAAAGCTTGAGATGCCAGCATGTTATAACATAATCCAGTCTTTCTTCACCAGAAGGAGGGCCAACAGTCTGTTTATAAACTTAAATCCAGCTCCCATGCATTGAGGAAACAGTAGTATTAGTTCAAACCTTCACTAGTCACGTGTGCTATGCTCCTCTGCCTTCCCATGAGAGAAGGAAACAAGTGCCTTCATCTCAGTACTTTCACCCAATCCAAATGCACCATCACTGTAAGGCTAATGGGAAAAAAAAAAAAAAAAAAAAAAAAAAAAAAAAAAAAAAAAAAAAAAAAAAAAAAAAAAAAAAAAAAAAAAAAAGAGCAAACATCTTGGGGAGGACAGTCCTAAACCACTGCTGGAAGATTTATAAAAATGTAATATCACTAAGTGATCTTGAGCAACAGTATTTATGAAGCAACTCATTTACCTTTAGGACTCAGCCATTTTCAGTAACCCAGAATAGAGACACTGTTGACTTTACTAATAAGGCAATTCCCCTAACATCTGCAGCACTCAGCCATTTAACACAAGGCTGCTATTTGAGATGGCAAGGGGAAACTGGGAGATACTGATTAGAAGTATATTAAATTACACTATCTTGCAAAGAGCACACTTTCTTAAAGATTATAGGGGATATTCTGTGTGCCTGTTCAGAAGACTAAACACAGCCATAAAAAGCTTGTAACAAGCAATGGTTGCCTCATATTTGTTCATTTACATCTTAAAGCAGACAAGGGACCTTACTGCAGAATGACACTGCACAGGCTATTCTCCCTTCAGCAAACACAATTGTTAGTCTTTAAAGAATGAAGATTTTTTACAACCTAAACTTCATTTTACACTAAGCAAGCCCAGAGAATAATCAGACTTCACTTTATCCTAAATAAATACCCTGAATGAGCAATATTCTGCTTAAGAGTACAGATACAAAGAGTTTCTGTATCTTATGTAAAACATAAGGCAAGTGCAGTTGACAGAAATTGACAGAAGTTCCCCTTCAGTGAATTACATTGCTGTCACAAATGTAAAGTTCTATGACACATATTCAGATATAACACCAGATAGTGGTGTATTGTAGCAGTTGGTAAGCACCTATTCATCCATCAAATGAATATCTGATAAGAGATAGGCAGAATACGCAGAGGTTTGGCCAGAGGTAAATACTAAAGCCACCAAAAAGAGATTTCTAACAGAATGGTAAATGTAACTGTCATTCTAACATTCTTCTCTTTGCTTATTAGAATTATACAGTGCAGTAAATGTTTACATTTCAGTGCTTGGTCAGTTAATCTTGATTCTTCCTGAGGTTCCTTAGCCCTTTTCTCAGTTGCTTTCACCTCCCTTGTACAATAAATTAAATAAAGTCCTGTTCTCTGAACTCCAGATACCCCAATCTTAAGGTCAAGGATGTTTTTGCTACCACACCCATTTCTTTTAACCTCTCAATGCCCTTTGATCAAGGGCTGTTGGCATAGGAAGAGCGTTGCTACAGTTGATATTATCTGCAGCACTACAGCAGAAACATGAAACATTCTTGCTGCCAGCTGACACAATTGTGGGTTTATGCAAGGTGCTGTAAAACTTTTAAAATAATTTTAATCTACATAAAAATGGACCAAAGAGGCAAAACCAAAATAAAACCTCTGTTCTGAGAATTAAACACTTCATGTAATCCATGATGCAAGACAAAAACCACAAAAACAAAGTAAAATCCCCCAAAAATACAAATAAAAACAAAAACAAAAAAAAAAACCCAAAGGAAATAAAGGAAAGGCTGTGATTACTGCAAAACTATTACAGCAAGGGAGTTACTATCCTAATATCTAAACAATTGTGATAAAAATGTTAGTATTATGCACAGTAAGCCTCAGCTTATGAGGGAACCTTGATATTATTACTGGGGAAAAAAAGAAAAAGCAGAGAAAAGCAGACAACACTGATGTGTCCCCTTCTCCTTCTGAGGATGTATTTTCTGTATTTTTAAAACAGATTTATCTGTAGAGTATTCTGAGTATATTATCCTATTACACTAAGCTGAGCATATTACGGCTCCACAAATGCTGCCTATTTCAACTTCCTGCCAGTTAAAAAGAAAAAGCACACACAGCCTCTTCTAAAGAATTAACTGACATCTTCTTTATACAGCTATTGCTTTGCTGGAAGTTGAAGAAGGCAAGGTCAAATTGTATTCAGCACAAGCAAGGTTTGTTATAGTTTTACTTGTGAAGGAATTTATTAACTGCAGACTGAAACTATCTCCCACACAGAAGAATGCTCACCTTTCTGATGGTCTCATGATTTCCTGGGGTGAATGATTAATTTCACCATCATTACATATAAACTTCCCCTCTTTATAAATATACACACTATAGCATAGTTAAAGAGGAAATTTGCAAGATTAAAAATTGATGATTTCCAAGTTTGTACTCAAATATTTCAGTGAACATTTCTGGGATATAATAAAAGTAATCAATTCACTTCATTTCACTTTAAAGCCAAAGTACCTGGCTCAGAAATGTACCATAGAAACTCACAGTCAAACATAAAGAGAAAGTAAGTTCCACAAGTCTCAAGCTCATTCATGTTTAACCTTCTTTCCCAGAAAGATGTCAAGGATGTCAAAACAATGTGTTAATAAACTAAATAATTTCATTTGAATGCAATGGGCTAGACTTCTAGAGTTATTTATCTAACAAATGCATTTGCTTCCAGGAATCCTCTTGCTGAGTACCCTGAACTAATATTTGCAATAAACAAAATATACCTTGCACAAGAGGTTTGAAAAAAGTTGGCTTTATCTCTGTACCAATTTCTCACAGTCACATAAATGACTGTTCAGTTACTACAGAAAGAGGATAAAGCAGAAAGAACACACATGATGGCTCAAACTACCCTCCCCCCAAAAAACTGTCATTCATTTCATTTTCATGATATAGCAATCTACATGTACCTATATAAGAACACATTTTACTGAAAGACACAAAAGTCAAACATCTTTGCAGAGAAAAAACAACCATCAAACTTTTACATTCAGTCCAAAATGAAGTACTAAAAGTTCCCTTCTATAGCAGCAACTTGAATCCAGGAATTTCAGTTTTTACAGCAAACAAACACAGTCATTAAGTATTTTTTATATTTTCACTAACGTGAGCAGACATGGGAACATTTGCCTTAAAGTGAACAAAAAATTTACAAATATAGCCTCTTCAAGTGATGTATTACAACACTTATATTTTTAAATGGCATCTCTGCATTGTTCACAAAAACCACACCTAAAGAAAGTGATGAAAAAAATTCTGCTAACATTGTAAGACAACAAGTATGGATAAAAGGTGTTTCAGCTGGCAAATGAAGAATTCCAAATTTCTCTTTTACAGTGTAGCATTCTGCAGAGAGCACTGCAATATACACCATGGATATGGCATGTTAAATTGTTGAATATATATTGTTTTCCATCACTGTATTTATTATCAGTTTATTCTGTTATCAAAATTAAGTTGCAGCCACCTTAAATCCATTATGTCATTATATCTGCAAACAATTAAAAACATTCAAAATATGATATGCCATATTAGTTTGAAACATTAATAACAGTATTCCATCTTATTTTTATTTATTTTCAGAGATACACATACCCTACTTGGTCTTTAAAACCATTGTTGAACAATCAGTATGTGGCTGAACAGAAATAGTGTAGAGCTAATACTGACCCAAGGGTTACTAAAGCAACTAATAGTAAAAGATTTAAATTACCTTCTGCATAAATTCATCGAGGACAGTAGGATTCCTAAACATTCCCTCTTGGTTACCTTCACTGCAAAACAAGTATTCTTTGTGTTCCCTTCTTGCTGGGATTCTTCATTACTTAATGTCTGTGCAAATGGATAGTCTTTTATATCTTTTCCCTCCCCAAAAGACTGAAAGTTTTCAGAGTGAGATTTTCAAAGAAGACACATACAATGTAAAGCATTTCAAAAGTTTTAAATATAAATCAACAAAAATCAAGGCACTTAATGTAGTTACATATGAGCAAAAAAACATTATTACTAAGAATAATATGGTCAAATCACAAAGTGAGATTATCAGCAAGGGTAAAATCTCTTTCTTTTACAGTTTTGGTTTGAACTTGCCAGAAACAAGCTTTTTCAGCATTTCAGAATTTTTTCCTTCTGGTGGTGAGGGCCATTTGTCATGATCTGAGGAAAACAAATAAAAGAATTTACTTAGCTGATTGAGAAATTAGACATTTTACTTTGGTCTCCTCCCACTGTACAACTTCATGCCTTGAAAGGCATTGTTTTGGAGCCCATTTCTTACCGGGTATTTCTAGGCTATGGCCATACAAACTCTGGCCACCATCCACGACCATGGTTATCCCAGTTATGAATGATGCAGCTGGAGACAGCAGGAAACATACAGCAGGAGAGATCTAGCAAAAGAATGACATTTTAAAATCTTAAATTTAAAATCTCAAATTTTAATATTTCTTAAACAGCTGGGAATTGTTCATGTCAAAGAAGCTTGTGAAAACTTTGACAGGCAAGGTCTAGTAAGATTTTCTACTTAGTAATTAAAACTGTAACAGCCTTAAAGCCATCCTTCCAGCCACAAGCATTTAACAGAGGAAAAACAGAAAACTGTCACAGAGCAGCATCAGATACCAAAAAAAACCAAAAAAAGGTTGATCAGTTTATCAAAGATGCACATTCTTGGTGGAAGAGAGCTAAGTGCATTTAAGATACACTTTTTTTCCTTAATATTCATTCTTTCAGTCCTTTCTGCTGAAATCAACTTCTTCAAGAAATAATGTCTACTAATCAAACACTTCAGCTGTAAGAAGCAGCTGAATGAAATTTTCTGTGTAACAATGACTACTGGTTAAGTCTCGCACTTGGCACAACCACACATTGCTACAAGCTTTCTTCTTCTTAAATATTCCATCACAATGCAAAAGTAAATCTTTTTTGTTCTCCATATAATGAAGTGGCTTCAAAATAGAGAGACAGAAGTAGGCATATCAGAAGCATTCTGAAATACATTACCTCCTCAGGGACAGCTGACCTCTTGGCAGGAACCTTTGGTATGCTCTTTAACCACATCATTACACCTTGTTCTCCATAGTTTGCAACAGCAGTTTCCGAAAATACCAGTCCCTATTTAAAAACAGCACAGTGAGACTTAGTTCTCTTGCATACATTTAAACTAATCATTCTAAAATTGTGAAGTTGTCAGTACTGATTTTCTGTGGGACTGAACTATCTAAAGAGCACTTGAATACCAGTTTCTGAATGTAATGGCATAGTATAATTTATACAAGAAGGTAATTTGGCTGCTAGCCACATCTCTGTTCAAGCACAATAATTCTGATTATTCCAATTCTCTGCTGTCACTTCAATAACACAAAAGTGGAGTATAAAAAAGCTCAGATGCTGCTTTGAAATTTCAAGCATTTAATGTTAAATTACAGTAGGAAACTACAAAGCCTCAAGAATAAATTCTCAAAAGTTTCTTGTCATCTGTAGAAGCACTAGACCGATTTATTGTGAATTACAGAAGTGGACAGATTTCAGTCAGAATTCTGACTCTCCCTACTTAGCTGATCCAGAAGCAGAAAAAGATGACTGTGTTTGCTCTGGTGACCACACAGTCACCAGAGTGACTAGTGAGAAGGAAGTTTTGAGAAGGAAGATGGCAAAGTGAACACAGAATTACATCCACCAGTTAGGACAGAACTTTTGGGACTCAAGTATAAGTAAAATAGCAAAATTTGAATTCACCCATGGCACATATACTAAGATTTTTAAGATACCTCTATAATGTATGTGAAACTCCTTCTTTCAGAATGCTCACTTCCCTCTCTATGTATCCATTTCCTACAGGTTCCTCTCCTCCCATAAAGCAGTAACAATTTTGTATTGTTTGTATTGTTACCTGATAAGTCCACAAAGGTGACAGAAGTCTTATTGTAACTACAACATGGACTTTTGTTACCAGCATAGTAACAAAGCTAGCAAATACTTCTGAAAGAGCCAAAGCCCTGAAGTGTTTGCATGTCAAAAACGTCTTCTGACATGTGCTATAATATCTAATCAGCATGAGTCATTAGGTAATTAGCATGCCTGAAAAGTATATTCACATAATAATGCTGTCTTAATTACTTACTTCCCCAAGACTTGATAAATCAGAAAAAACAGATAAACAGGAAATACAAGTCAGTACATCTTAATATTTAACATGTCTCCAGATGAACTGGGTCTCACAAAGGTTACATAAAAGCCTTTACCTGAATGATTAACACACATCTGCCATTAAGCATTCTATGCTATGCCAAACAAAGCAAGCCAGATGTTTTAGGACAAGAGGCATAACAGAATACACAGACATTCTACAAAAATAGTAGCAAGATCTTCCTAGGGATCACTTAAACAAACATGACACTTATGACACTCACTGTGAGATAAGCTAAATTCTGACTGTAGAAGTAGCTGGACAAAATTTATGTTTCCTCTTTAATTTCAAGGGAGTAAATGTGCAAAATAAATTGTGGATAAGAGAAAATTACAACAGATCACACATTCTCAAATGTCAAGGCTAGAGCTTCTATACAACTTTTGTATCTGCAGCACTACAAAATCTGCTTTCTATACAGTTATTTAAAACAACTCTACCTGCTGTCTACTTCCTCAGAAATGTGGCAGGCATATTTTAGCTGACTTGTATAGTGGCTTCCTGTCTGCATGAATTTTTTATGAAAAAAAAATCAAACCACACATTTTTATACATGATTTCTCTGAGAGAAAGCTACACTCCAACTACAATCTCTTTATATGCCTAAAGCTAAACTAACTTAACATGTAGGAGACAAAGTAAAAGGCATTATACGAAACATTCAGAGATTTTCAAAATAAGTTTGTACACATAGGTAGAAACCATCAGCATACCTGAACCTCAAACAGAAAAGGTTTCCTGAATTCAGAAGTAAAGTATCCATTACTGAAACACAGAGCAATCAGTAATTTTATATCAAGGCTTTGTAAGACAGGTCACCAACTCCTACCAGTATTATTTCATTTAGCTATAAATAAACTAAAAACCAAGCGTGCCAAGTTAAGGCAGAAAGCAGAAGCAATTTTATCCCACATCCTCTGACTCATCATCCAAAAGTACGAAACACTGTCAAATGGTCCAAAGAACACAGTAAGGGAATTATAAATAAACAAATATATAAATAATCCACAAACAGTTACTGGTAATAAATTTAAAAACCTGTTTTGGTCCAAAAGCTCTAACTATGTGTAATAGCTGATTTTAATCAGATCATTTGCCATTACTTACGGGAGCAACGCTGTTGATTCTCACTCCATTGTGAGCCCATTCTAAAGCTAAAGTCTTGGTTAGGTTATCCACTGCAGCTCTTGCAGCTCCTGTGTGCCTATGGAGAAAAGAAAGCCAAGGAAGCATCTGTTCCCTTAGCTAGGTGTGTCCAGTGTTAATTCTACTGCAGCCTCATTAGGGTATTCAGAGTGGTTTTCTGTGGCTGGACCAAGCATCTGCAAGAGAGAGACTCTCTAGTTTCCAAGTTTGACCATAGCTTCACTGTTTAAACAAGCCATGCTGTGATTTCCTGTCATTGCTAGAAATACTTAAAATCTCTTTTCCAATGCAACATGGGGTCAGCTACACTCTACTGCAGGAGGGGGCTTATAAAAAGAGAAACAACTGAAGTTCACTGTGTAAAACTACCTGTAGCTTGCACAGGTAAAGCAAAACTTGGAAGAACAGTGGTCTGGAAGATAGTTTAAATCATCTGACAAACATGATTAAAGTAAATCTCTATTCAGAAAATATTGTAGGTAGATGGAGATAGAGACATGAGACTCAGAGTGAACTCCTACGCCTTGCTGCTGTAGTAACCAGTCTGAAATTATTACAAGCTTGAACAAATGCAAACAAAATTACTGCAGTAATGAATTGTAGACAGTTGCAGTCAGAGAAAATGAATAAATTTAGCTGCTTTAGCCTAGCAAAATAGACTAAGAGGAGACAGATACAATAGCTTTTCAAATACAGGGAAAGAATACGAAAAACTTAAGAAAAACCTAAGATAAGTTATTAATATGTTTAGGCCAGAAATAGATAACTTCCAGACACACTCTGAGGAGACATGACAACTTCTATGTTCAAAATTAATACTTATAAAAACTCCTATCAGGTGACTTTTGGCATGAGTGGTAGCTGGACTTGTAAAGGCATATCTTTTTCAACAGTACATTTCTGCAAGAATTTCCAACTCAATTTAATTTGGAAGTAGTTTTGACTAGCCGTCTACATACAGTGGTTACTTAGGAGAATTTTTCCACCATTATTCAGAATGAGCTTGTTTTTCCTCTTAATTCACTCAAATTGAAACATCTTCAGCCTATTTGCCATGACAGTTGAAACAGATACCACAATGGAGATACTCAAATAACTGTAGCTTCAGCACCACCATGTGGATCTCTGTATTTATTCTCTACTGTGAAGAACAAGCTAGTGAGAAAAAAGTGTTTCCTTAAAAGTGTTGGTTTTGAAGCCATTCAACCCTGAATGAGGATGAAGAGAGATAATGCAACACTTGTTAAAAATATATTTTTATATTTCTTCAACAGAAACTCAATTTCCAAGTTAAAAACAAACAAACAAACAAGAAAAACAGAAAAAGGAGCCAATTCCAATTAAAGCTTCACTGGCAAGTCTTGCTTCATAGTTTCTTACAAACAAATGGAGAGAGACCAGAGATGCCATCTACTGGAGGCATTAAGAGATCCCCACATACAGCCAAGTGATACTCCTGCTCTCTCTTGACCTAACCTCTGTATTTCTACACTCTGCTGCTGCCCAGTACACACCTTTCTGAGGTGTTTAGGAACAATTAGTACTTCTGGGGTGAAAATATAGGAAAGTATAAAAAAAAAATATATATTACGACATTCCAGGAAAGCCATTTCTCACGGCAGCAGTAATGTTGACAATGGCTCCTCCATGTTCTTGCATCCAGGCATTGTACACTGTATGAAGGAGGAAGATAACCTATAAATATCAGAAGAAATGCATACAAATGAACTCACCAACTGAAAACCAAATTTGGAGTCTTAACTGCAATCACACTACACATTTGTCATACTGGTTTGGAGAAACAATTGCTGTTTGTACCACAGCCCTGCCAATCCAGAGGTGAGGCCATGAGGAAACAGGCACGGTCCAGGTAAGGCTTAAGGATTGTAAAAAAGCACTTGGTGGAAATCAAGATTTCATGTTTCCATGTAACTTACTTTAATTTCCACATTCCAAATGCTATCTGAGAATGACATACCATACTTAAATTTAAGACTAAATTTATATCCCTGAAGAAACTATTTTCCTATGTTACACAGAGAATACAGGCCATGAAAGTTAAGTGGTTTTCTTATAGTCTTTTAAATGAGTATCCAAGTCAACTGACTTCCCAAACCTGGCCTTAACCAGAAGATCATGCTTGCCTAAATACATTTCTGTATTTATGAACAAATGTAATATACCATTTAATGCAAAGCTTTGGATGAGATTCAGGAAAACAAATATCCAGTCAGATAAGTGCATGAAAAGAATTCAACTCACAGAATCACTAGGTTGGAAGAGACCATCAAGATCATCAAGTCAAACCCATGCCTTAACACATCAACTAAACCACGGCAATGAGTGCCATACCCAGTCTTTTTTTAAACACATCCAGGGATGGTGACTCCACCATGCCATTCCAGAACTTTATCACTCTTTCTGTGAAAAACTTTTTCCTAATAACCAACCTGTATTTCCCTTGACACTGCTTGAGACTAGGGAGACTTGACATTTCTTATCTTCTGGTATTTCTGTAAAACACAAAACCAAATAAACACAAAAAGCTCAATGCTCAGACCTTACCTGCTTTGCAGCAATAGAAGGTCCCTGTCAGATTTGTGTCTATCACAGCATTCCAGCCTTTTGCACGGATGGCTTCAGAAGGACTTGCAAACTGGCCCCCTCCATTATTCACCAGGAAGTCAATCTTCCCATGCAGACTCAGTGTAGACTTCACCAAAGCTTCTACCTGAAACAGTATTTGTTAGTGTGGTATGCTGATCAAGGGCTACACCCAATTTTGTTCTCAGACAGTATTTTCTCCCTCATGCCCTTTTCACGCCGTGAAAAAGAGGAGGTCTAGCCTTCAGAGAGGCTGTAAATTGGTATGACAGGTTTAGGCAGTCAAGAAGGACTGGGCTGTATCCATGTTTACTCAGGAAATTTTGCTGGTATAATGCAGGTACTGCATAGAATACCAGCACCCAGAGAAGAGGGGATTTAAGCTGCCAAAGATTTGTAAAATCAGACACAAAAGCCCACTACATATGACCTACTAAGAATCTCCTGATGCTTCTCAGAAGAGTGGGGGTGTTCACATGAGATCTGCAAAAAGTTCCATATAATAGCTACTGTTATTTTTATCTGACCATATACTTGACCATTTTAAATAGAAATCCTAACTCATCTTGTCGAGTTTTATCATCCTTACCTAGAAGTTTAGTATATTCACTACAGCTCTGACATATGAGTTAGCAATAGCTGGTCTTCTTACACAGAGTAAGAAGGTTAATTGCCCTAAAAAACATGAAGTCTAAAAAATGCGGGAAATATAAGTTGTTTTGTTCAGCAAAAATATTATTGCAAGATAGTAGTAAGAACTCCATAGCAACAACTTAATAATTTAATATTTATCTCAAGAAACAGGAAATGGGACAACATGACTGTTTCCTGCTTACATCATCAATCATAACTAGATACCATGCATCAGTTATTCCTACTCAAGCATATATAAAAAGATAACCTAGCATCTGTGGTCAAAGAAAAACACAATAAAAAGCCAACAGGTGGAACAATGCTGCCACTCAAACAGATTGGGCTAGGGGAAGATATCAATCAGCCTTTCTCTGTATTGAGTTAGCAATAGAACACCAGAAATAAAAAAACGTGCAAGCAATGCATTATCTGTATATCACAATGAGTGTCACCAACCCAGTCTCACAAAGGCTGCCTTACTATTTACTTACTAATCTTTTATTTCTAACAGCACAGAATGCTTTAACAGGACAATATGTATCCTGTAAGGATGCACCTCTTGAAAGAAAAAAAACCCTAAACAAACATATAATGACATAAAAACTAGTGCCTGCTGAGAAAAAAAATAATAAACTCCCATCTTCAAATTCTGAATGTCATCTTATTCCTCACTTATTAGTCACTGCAGGTAGTGGGATGTGAGGAAAAAACACAGAAAACTAAAACATCTGTGGCAGCAGTCCCAAACTCACAGCTTGTGAGAACAGCCACACCACAAGGACATTCCAGCATTTACTTTTCTCTTTTTGTGAGCAAAGGAAAGTTATGTCTGGCTAGGCAGCAAAAGTTATGCTTTGCTCAGCAATATCAAACTCTTCTCCCTGTCAGTCTGAGAATGTTGCTTTGAATATTATTCTCTGTAAGTCACTGAAATATGGGCTCATTTATAGAACAGAAATAGTTTCAGTACAAAGAAGATTTGAACAAATAAAGGCTATTCAGACTGTGGAAAGATGAGAGAGAAGGAAAAACACTAAGAATGATAAAGAAGAAAAGACTGAAAACAAATTAACAGGAACAATCCACTGAGAAGAGACATTAAAGCAACTTTTCAACAGCTGGACAAAATGTATGTTTTTTATGCTATAGCATATCAATTCAAAATGGTTCATATGTTGCACTTAAGGAACTGTTGTTGTTCCTACGTGTGGCACCATATTCTCATGAAAAACAAATTAAAAACCCAACAACAACAAATGCATATCAGTTCTGCTTTCTGAAAGTCAGGAAAGGCCAAAAGGCTCTCCAGTGACACCTCAGAAGGCTCCAACTGTAGCAATCTTCACAAAGTCTTCTGTGCTGTAGAAAAGCATCACTGCAGTGCTTCTCTCAGTTAAAGTAAGCATGGTGACAGCAGCCAGCAGCACAGGGAGAAGGAGGGTCTGGTAGAACATATTTAAATCACAGTCACTACTAAAGAAGATTCTTTTCTATTGCCATAATTAAAATATCCACTTGGAAAGAACTTCTAAGAAAAACTATTAAAGACTCTCTTTGGAAGCAAATGAAAGCTGCATGAAGTAGAGCTACTAGTTTAGGACGTTTTCTTCTGAAAAAGAAAAAAGAACAAAATCAGGCACTTCAGACATAAGCAGAAGACTGGAACTCTGCAATAAGGAACTTCTGTGTGTTACTGCAACTTAGATGTATTATGCAGCAGCACTTTCAGACAACTGAGATGACAGCAGTCACTGACTCAGGGAAAAGGGACAAATGTCCACATGCATTCACAGGTCACCTTGTGTGAGCAAAACACACAGGCAAACACTGCAGAGTGTTAGAGATTTGTGATTTGGTGGCTAGAGCTAATAGGCATTCTGGCACAGTGGTAACAGGTATTTTTACTGTGTTACTGCTGTGTTATTTAAAAGTACAACAACAGGAATCTCTTATCCACAGCTCCCCACCAAGCCAGTCTTTCACTACACGCTTCACACAGATAGACATTAAGTATTTATAAACCAACTGAGCCTATGCTAAGCTATAAAGTTTATTGGAAAAGCTACTAGTGAGCTCAGACACAAGGTATGTGCTAAGCAGCACCGTATTGAGTCTGTCTGAAGTTGTCTTGATGCCCAGCTGACAGATTTTACCCTCGGGGTCTGATCCAGCAGCAGGTTCTGTTGCTGGAGTTCAAGTATGAAAAGGAGACACCATGAATAGAATTCTGAATTTCTGACTTCAAGAACACCTGTGGCCTACCAGAAGTACAAGGATTTATCTTCCACTTACCTAGATATGTAAGCTTCTACTTATCTAGGTGCCAGTTAAAGAAATGTTTGTCTACAGAGTATTGCAAAAAGGCTTTAAAAGTGTAAGGATTTAAAGAGTACTGCTGCCTGTCTCAAAACACTGTCAAGGCCACAGAAGGAACTTAACCCTATGATAAGCCACCAAAGCAGGAACTTGAGAAAAGCATAGAATGGAGGAATTTGCAACAGGAAAGCATTAATTCCAGGCCTAGCAGAGGTAAGATCAGGTTAGAACATCTTGGTTAATGCATCCAGACAAAAATGCCCACTGTGGCAAACTGTGGGAAAGGAAGCAACTGCTCATACACATCACCCCAAGTTAGGGGAATGGCACCTGTGACCACCCCATGGGTAATTGAAACTTGGCCAGTGTGAAGGTGGTGCCTCCAGAAGACTGACATTACACTGCTGCATCCACAGCTTGTGACTATCATCTGGTTGGTTTCTGTCTCTCTCAGTCTCTCTCCCTCCCTTCCTCCCCTTAATTCAGGCATTAATTCTTCATGTCTTGTCCCTGTCAACAGATTTTGCTGTAGCTCAAAATTTAAGACACAAAAAGAGACAAATAAAGATACACATGCACACAGAACTGGCCAGTTTGCATCTCAGCAAAAGAGAAAAAAAAAAAAAAAACAAGACTGATCTGCTCTCAACACATTATGAGGCCAGGAAATATGCAAACAATGAAAATCACTTCAGCTTTCTAATCACTAAGAAGCAACATCTATCACTATATACATGCCAAACCACAGGAAAAGGGAACAGGTGAACAGTTGCTGCTCCAGGATAAGGGCCTATGACAGAATATAGAAATACATTCTGATGACAACATAGAGAAATCTTAGGTTCTCTTATCCTCTACTCTGCCATTTTTAAAAGTAAACCAGACTTTTTATCCTTTACAGAACACTCAATGCAAAACTAGTCAAAAGCAGCAGCAAACTCATGACAAAAATAAGCCTGACAGCTTATGCAGTGGTTGAAAATCCTCCATCAAGCAGGATTATTTCTTGCACATTAAACAAAAAGTAAGCTTTGCTAGAAAGCAGAAGGACTTCTGAGAATGAAGATTTAGAGACTTAAAAATATGAATTCATTAAGCTATTCCCATGCTATTTGCCATCAAGTTTCTGCAGTAATTAATTCACTGCACCTTCTTTGCCTCTTCCTAGGCTAGAAAGAGCTCCAACAAACATCCTGGACTACATGATGAGGGATGAACCTTCTAATGTTTGAATTTCACAGATCCAAACTAGAGGCATGAACCGTGTCATCTTCAAAGCAGGTCAGTTACTTTAAGATTTGCAATAGGAGGCAAAAAATAATCTTCTGGCAATTTGAAAGCACCTTCATCTTTCTTAAATTTTCCCTATTCGATGTCCCTCCCTCCAGTTTATAAAATTCAAACCAGGACAAAATTTATAGAGGCCTTTAGAGAAATGCAGAACAACTAATGGAGAAAGAGGGCTTAAAAAAATGGCATTCTGTAATATGAAGAAATGGCTTGTTCCTACAGGTGATCAGGGTGGATTCCTTTGAAACAAAGATTTACTCTTAGAAAGACTTCTGAGGTGTCAGAATAAATTATATATTAAATTAATTATGTAGTTCTTCAGGAAACTTCCTGGGCTTTGAAGCTTGTGATAAATCACTTCTGACATCTAAGGGAGTTTGAACTCCTATTTTTTTTTTCCTGTTGAAACATTTATAATGTTTTTCTCCTGCACATGTTCTTTGGTACCTAGTATAAGAACTAATAAGGATATAGTGACTCACATAGAATTCTTGCAGAGGCTGTTCCTCTCTACCCAACAATGTGCTCCTGTGATTTCTGAGGTAAATACTCTTCACTCATACTAAGCTGAAAGCAAACAATGAGTTGTAATGTTACTAAAGAGTACCACAGAGCTAACACAGTTGTAACTAGTCTCACTTCTTTCATGATGGAAACCAGAAGGTGACATGCCCTCCCGTCCCCTCTTCCACTGTAAGAAGTTGTTCCTGTATTTATGAAAAAGTGAAGTGAGTTATATTACTGTGTTACTTCTACTCACTATTTGCCTCCTAGGCTAGAAAAATCCTTACCATCTTTTGCTGATTCCTGTTCCTATAACTCCAAGTCCCAGGCACTAAATTTTAAGTTAAGAATGGAGTAGGTTTTGAAAGTGGATGTATAATACTCTTTGAATCAAAGTAAAAGCCCAAAGGTACTTTTCCTCCAGTTTCCACAAGGCAAGCAAGTGCAAATTAGGAAAAAAGTAGTTTTCACCATTGTTGCTCTAGGAAACATAATAAATAAGCAATAGTAAACAGTGGGATGTGGAAAACCTGCCATATACTTCAGTTTTGACAGTTCTTAGCAGTGTAAGTTAACAATTGTTAATTTGAGTTTATCTAGTTTACACTTACAAACCAAAGTACCTTAGTGTAAGAAAGCACTATCCTCACTTCAAATTTGAGAGCTGAAAACACAAATTTCTGGTCAAACAGTAAATGTAGAAATTAAGTAACACATGGTCAGGATTTAGCAATCTTTGAGAATCTCAGCATTAAGAAGAGAACAGAGCTAGAGAGGCACAAGCTAAAGAACAAAAATTACAGGATGTCTCTAACGAACAAAATACATGGTCTTGGAGATGGGCATCTGGAATGGAGAAATATCTACCAGGTACACAAGTTCTTATGTTAATATGCAACAGAAATTGCATTTGCTATTCAGATTGTCAGCAAAAGGCCTATGAAATTTTCATACTAATTTTTTTTATAAGTAGGACTTTAACAGAAATAAATAACAGCAGTTGCAGAATTGACGTGAGTCAAACTATAAGACTAAATCAATAACGGAAAAGTTCAAGACTAGAGTTTCATTTGCCTTTTCCCTCTGAAGTCTCTCTACTGATAGGAGACATCCAATAGAAGCTTCACTAATATCATATGAAAAGTTCTAGGAAAGTTCTGGTGTGCCTGTAAATGGGTAGAGTTTAAATTTGAAACATGACAATTCTAGCAAAGACAGAAGTTTCTTCAAGTATCAGTATGGCTACCCATTACACAGAATAATGCCTAAACTCTTTACACAGCATTATAAAGAAGGCTGGAAAATCACCTTCAAAAATTTCCAAAGCCACTTAAGCCTGTTTTGTCAAATAGGTGTTTAGCCACAATTAAGAAGGAAACAAAGAAGGAACAGCAGTTTAGTGGAGATTATCCCATTTCACCACTCAAGCAAATCCCAAACCTCCCAGAAGGCTGTAGTTCCTACTAATCAATTACCCACTGATACAGAAATAAGATTCACCTGCAGAAGGTTATTAAGCATGCCAGAGTACTTTCTACAAGAAACAGACCTGAAAAAAGGCCTAAACCTTTTTCCTCTTTATTGCTCCTCTTTCCTGTAGCTTTAATCATGCAAGTTGCCCTCTGACATCTGCCATAACCTATTATGTTGCACTGCTGATGCCAGTAAATACACACCTAAAATTCAATGCTAGGTGAAGTGACATACTGCAGAGCCCCAGGGTTCATCTCCTTCAGGAGAGAAAGTCTGAGTAGATCATTATAAATATTTTATAGTACAAACTGCTCCACAAGGGAAGAATTTTAATTTTTATTTGTTTTATGTCTATATCTTAGGATATTTCCAGAATCCTTATAACTACTGAAGGTCATTAATGTCTAGGTTAAGGGAGACCTTGAATGGTTTAGAAAAATGAAGCAGTGATTATTGGAAAATTTTCTAGCTGTCTTCAAAAAATCAAAAATCCAACCTGAAGTTGGACTTTTAAATATTTAACTACAGAGATAAAAAGAATTAGGAGGTGCATGCAGACTTCTGAAGAACCTGGATTACGTACTTTTGCTCTTGATCTTCCATTTTCTGTAATATGAAGAAAAAATTTAAAAATCAACTTGAACAGTAACAGAGCTTGCAATGAGGCACACCTCAAACTGTAACCAAAATTTCTGACACGGCCAAAATATTATATACCTGTGGGGTTTTTTGGCTTTACTGCAAGCCAAACTGATAATGCAGGGCATTTGTGTCAAGTCACAAGCATTCGGATTCCATGCTATGCCTTCTTGTTTGAAGGAACTATTCTGAGGTCTCCATCTTCACAAGTTTACACCCCCTCACTTCTGTCACAGCAATGTGACAAAGAATCATACTAAGTGGGCTCTGTCTTGCTGTAGAACATGCCAGTTCCAAGGCCTGCATCTCCCAGAAATACCTGAAATATGTAAGCATGGTCAGAAAAATATTTGCAAGTATTTACAAATACTTTTTTGCTTAGGTGGCTAACAAATGTCTTCCCTTGGGAAGTACACCTAACCAGATCAATTTAACTGATCTTTGTTCCACCTTTCTCCTGATCTAAGCTACTTTTGAGAAGGCCAGAAATCTTTAGAGATCTGACAATTTATATACAATATGCTTTCAATATGTTAAGCCCCAGAACAAGGTCACTCATCTTTACCTCTTCTTCTTTGCGGATATTGCACTCTATGGGGGTCACTCGGGCAGGACTCATGGAAGCAAATCTGGCATTCAGCTCTTCTGCAGCAGCTTTTAATCGGTCAAATTTACGAGAGGCAATAACAACACTGCAACCTGTAAAGATAAAATGAAACATCATTCAGCTATCAAAATTATGCCATTTTTTAGTAACATCATGGCGATATCTTGTAGGATGTGCATTTATTAGTCACTGACTAGAAAATACAGTCTTGAAGTTCTTGCAAAAGAGAGAAATGACTGATGTCAGATGCTTCTTAGCAACAAGATCCCTCTGTGGCAGGAAAAGAGCAATTAAAAAAAAAATGTCCACAAGATTTCCTCTCCTTCCTGCAGAAGAGAAGATAGCCTGTGAGTTGCAGAGTCAGCAAAGCAGATTTCAGACATCACTTCTGCTGCTTCTGCTCACAGCTGCCTCATTTATCAATTAAGTGATTTAAAGATGCTTCAGCAGATCTTGATTATAAAAAATGCTTGCTCTTAGAACCACAAAAATAATCTTCTTGTACAACTGGCAGTAATTTTGACTAGCAGTGAGTAAACGCAATGGTCTGGTTTTTAACTCTACAATGACTGAAGGAAAGGATAATAGCCTCACAAGATTAATCCCTATCTGCAGTCTACAGACAGTGAGAACAGAGCCCTCACTGTGGCACTGCAGAATCCTAGCTGAAGAAAGGATAGAAAAAAAAATAAGGCAGGAGCTCAAGTACTTTTTTTCCCAGCATTTGGAGGCAGAAGAATTCATTCTACAGAGAAAAAACAAAGTAGGTGCCAACTTTAAGTCAAGCACTCACACTAAAACCAGTCTAATTTCTTCTGTCACACCAGTGGATTCAGGACAGCTTTAAGGCTTCAGTAATTGTTACTACACAGACTAAACCAAAGGACACCAAATTAATTCCTAGTGCAAATACAGCAGGCATGCAATATCATGCAATGGATTAGCAAATTATTAGCCAAGCAGACAAGGAGGTCTTGCTCCTTCCATCATTTTCGCAATTCAGCAGAAGTAATCTCTCCTTCATATCATGTCTGCTTCTCATCTGCTTTAATATAAATCATTCTCAACCAGCCAAAAAAACCAAAGGGAAAAGTTAGTATCTTGCCAGGTGTGGGGGTTCCCCCCCACTCTGTTGCAGAGTGGAATTTGGCCTCTCATATGATCAAGCAAACACCAGAATCAACTCAAAATAACTAGGGGGAGGAAAGAGCAGCAAGCTGTTCATTTGACTCAGGCTGTTTTGTGAAACTATATGTTAAAAAAATATTAAAATTAGAGGAGTTTAATTCTTCCAGGGGAAGCTTTACAACTACATATCCTTAGGAATAGAAGCTTCACCTTTAATTAGTGGCCATCTTAAAACAACACATATAAAGACAGTAGTCTCTGAGGTCTGATTTTTTTTTTAATTAAGAATTCCAGTCACTTGTACAACCACCTAACTAAAGCAAAGTTCATAACATGCCACACACAATTACCAATTAACACAAAATACTGAATCACAGTAGCCCAGTTGTATTTACCAACTTAAGTGCTTATAAATACACACATTGATATAGAATAAGGTCCAGTAAGAAACTATATTTTTGCTAAGTGCACTGACTGGGAGAGGGAGAGATTCTAATCACTGAAAAACATTTGGTACATACTGTGCAAGCTGATAATGTCACTTAATTTTCTTCACAAAGAATGAGCAGACCATTTACTGATAGTGTCAGGGATAAGGGCACAAGTTTCCAGATAAGAGGTTTAAATTTGCCCAGAAGGCCTCAAAGGAGACTGATTATATAAACAATGAATATCATGACCAACATTATGAAAGGAGACAAGTTATATAAACAGTGTATATAATGACTAGCCTTATGTGTCTGCTCCTATGCCTGTAAGTGCCAGTCTCCTTAGCTGAAGTGCAGGACATGTATGGAAATAATTGCTAATCATCATCTTGTCAGTAGTAACCAGCAAGCCTACAGATAAGGAAGGTTACTCAGTCAGTTTTAGGCCCTGTATAGCCCTTTCTTAATTTTTCATTTTCTTTCTTAATTTCTTCATGTGCTTTGTATAGATTTGTTTTCTATTCTGTTCTATTTAAGCTGTTACGGACACACTTTTGTTATTGTATTTTGCTTGAGGAAAACAGCAAAGATCAAATTAAGCACAGTTTTAAGATAACTGGGTAACATCAGCAACCAACAGTGTGATGATGCTTAAAAAGTACCTCTTTAAAGCAGCATGTAAGGACATCTGAAAAAAAAAATACTCAGTTCCCCAGTAATACAAAGGTAGCAGATCTAATCCTCCATTCAGCTCTACAAAGCAAGCGTAAAGCTGCGGCACAAAGGCCAGGAGAGACAGAGATGTCTCCCAGCACAGCCTTAACAAAGAAAGCCCTTTACAATGCAGTGCAGTGGTGCACATTCCAGCAATGCAAACCACGGGAGTGTGACAACTAGAGCTGTAACACTAGCGGTGGTATTCTGAAGACGCTGAATCTAATCATGACAATAAACTATCCAAACCCAGTCTGATGCTGATGATCCCTAGCACTGATGTTGAAATCTCCAGGAAAGGTGTTGCAAAGTGGATGTAGGAGTCATTTCTACCTCTCCTGGTCTCATACCAGAAAGTCAGGAGACTGCCTTTCAGTCTAGGTTTTACTACTTCTCTATATTCAGCGTGGAAAGAAAAGCTACGCCGTGCCTCATGAAGATGTTCTTCAATTTCAGGACGTTCCTGAAATCGCAGACACTGTGAGAAGCACCACGTCTCTAAGATGTAACTGTGCGGGAGCAGTTTAAGGAAACTGCTCTCTAAGAGTCAAGGTTCAAGAACCTCGTAAATCCTCCAGTTGAAACAAGACGAGACCTCACTGAAGGGAGAGTCTGAGAGAAAGGGTCCTGGTTTAACATAACCTCACTGACCTCTGTGTTTAGAACAGCGAGCGTTTTGCGGGCCAAAAGGCACAGTCGCACATCAGCCTCACCTGCACCCCTTGCTGCCCCTGTCACAATGTCCCACCCACGGGCTCCTTGCACCGACAGCCCCCAGCAGGCAGCACAGCCCGCGGGCACTTCCAGCCGGCCCCTCAAACTCCACCCGCCCGCCCCGCGGCCCCACCGCGGCTTCCTGCGGAGCCCGCCCCGCTCCCACCTAGCGCCAGCAGGTCGGCGGCGATGGCCTTGCCGATGCCGGTGCCGCCGCCGGTGACAATGGCGACCCGCCCGCGGAACAGCCCCGCCGCCAGCAGCCCGCGCCCCGCCGCCGCCATCTTCTCTCCCTCCCTCGCTCGCTCCCGCCGCCCGGGCCGCGCCCGCCCCGCCTGTGACGCGCGGCCCCGCCCGCCCGGGGCTCGGCGCCGGGCACGGCGGAGCGGCGCGGCCGTGGCGGCGGTGCCGGGCTCCTGTGGCGCGGCAGGGCGCGGCACCGCGGGCGGCAGGTAAGGCAAGGGGGGCGGCTGTCCGCTGTCGGTGTCGCCCGGGTCACGCCTCGCGGGGCAGACGCCGCTCGGCGCCCGGGAGGGGTCGGTGCCGCCGGCGGTGCCGCGGAGTCGGTGCTGCAGCCCCGCAGTGAGCGCCCACCTGCCCGCAGCCGCGGGCTCTGCTGGCGAGGGACGGGTCGCCTTGGTTTTCTGTTCCAATTCGGGTCGCTGTCCCCGTGGGCGCGGGCAGGCAGGCGGAGGAGCAGCGGGAGCGGAGCCCCGGTGGGAAGCCCGGGGGCTGCCACGGACAGAAGGTGCTGGTGTGCGCCTGCCACGGACCCGCGGGCGGGCGGTCCTCTCTCCGGGCATGGACTTTGTAGGAAAGAGGCCGTGAAGGCTGAGGTGACAGCGTTTACCGTGTCCCCAGTAGAGTCATTTTGGGCTCAAATGCCTCTGCCGGTGCTGGTGGTGTCCGTTTCCCCTCTCCCGGCCCCCTTAAAATGGCCCTAACTAAACTCAGTATTAACTGCTCAGCTGACTCAGAGGACCGGCAGCTTTATTTTCTTTTCTATCCCACAGTGAAGTGACAGAGCATCTTTGTCCGTTTCAGGTGATTTTAACCGGCGCCGATGTGCCTAGCAGCCTGTGTATGCATGTTCAGTGTCTGTCCAGGCATCTCCTCCGTCCTTTTCAATGGAAGAGATGTTTGAAAGTATGTCTCAATTTTGTCTTGTTACTTTTACCTTAGGAGACTTGGCTAATGTGAGAAGAGAGTGTTTTGGTTTTTTGGGTTTTTTTTAAGACGTATAAGTAAAGTGGGAGAATCATAGAGTCTGTTTTGGGATACTTATTTGTGAAACAAATTTATTTACTTTTCCAAAAGTATGTTTTAAGGTTTAATAGTTTAAATCGGGGACAATTTTAAGGTAATGTCTTTATCCTGTAGTTCAGTGTGTTTCAATGGAAGCTGTATACCCTCCTTTTAAGTGTATGGGAGGGGAGGCATGGAGAAGCTAAGAGTGTGCCCAGATTCATTCACCAAAGGGTGACAAGATAGGTGCATTTCTGCATGATGACTTAGGCCAGTAAGGCAACTGTTAGACAAAATTCCCCTTTTGGGGTGGGTCAATGTTTGCAGAATACATCGCTTTTGCAATGTTGAAAGCATTCTATTTTCTGGGGGCAAAATGTGAAGCACTGTGAAGTGACACTGCAAAAATTTTTTTCTTCCTCCCTTTAATTATCTTTCACAATCTGAGACTTCATAGATTCCCATTAACTGTCTCTGGCTGCCCCACATATCTGAGGCAGGCTTATCAGAGCAATCATTAATTAATCCCAGGGAGAAGTACTCATCTGTGCTGGTGAATTAGATCTACATATTCCAGCCTGCCTGCTATCCCAACTGAGCTGCATGGCTCCAAGGAAAATCCAGTGGGCCTTTCTACTCATGTGACCTCCTTGACTTTAGTGTTTTTCCTGGAGAGCACTATCAAAGATTTTTTTCTTCCCTATCAGGATATATTGCTTGGTTTCTGGAATTTCCCAGTAGCCACAGAAATGCCATTAATAAGGGGCTGAACACATGAGTTAGGGTTCTGTGAATGGTGGGTGGGAAGAGAAAGGGGAAAGACATCAAGACTGTAGAGGAAGGAGGAGGGGAAAGAAGACATCCATTCTTTGGTGTTCAGTGGAGGGTAGCCCCTTCTGGTACAAAATGTGTTCACAAAAAATACAGCTGGGATAACTGATGCTCACAGACATTTTCAGCAAAGCAGTGGCTTCTATTCACTATTGTGTGCCTTTGAACCAAGGATTCAAACTATACCCATGTGTGAATTGATTTTACCCCAGTCGTTGAAATTCAAAATTATTTAAGCTGAAATGAAGAAAATCTTATTAACTAAAATAAATTTTAATCTCCTCATATGTTTTACTTTCTAAATCACAAAGGAATGTTACTTTTCTTTTATTGATAACATTAAAACACATTGATCTGTCACTCAACGCAAACAGTGGTAAATTCAGTAAGCCTAAGGCTTTTACATATTGATGTTACTCTATAAAGTTAATGCTAAGATTCTGACTTTTTACGTGTTAGAAAATAGTGTCTGATTAGACAACTTATTTTTTATTTATTTTTTCAGTATATGTCAGATTGAATTTGGAAGAAAATAAATCTGCATTTAAAACCTTGGAGTGTTGATTTTTGTTTTTTGAAGTTAACCATCTGACTTTTTTTACCTTGGTATAACTATCGCTTAAAACATCAAGCATTCAAAAGTCAAAATGACAAAAAAATAATTCAGTAGGTTTTTTTTTCAGTTGTCAGCTTATTTGGAGTTGTAGGATTAGCATATGTCATTCTTGAACATCTACTTTTTTATTTACATATTGAAGAAAAAAAAATAGATTTCCTGTTTTTATGGCTCCCAGATTGTGTCTTGGCTTTGAATGAAGCAGTTCAATTTATTGAGATAAATGGGAAACTGCGTTTTCAGAAAAGGCTACTTTTGTCCAAAGCTGTGCTATGCCAGCCTATGGCTCAGTTATTCAGCTGGTGACACCTGCCACTCCATTATGCTGCTATGCTTTAAAAATCCTGGCACTGACATGGACTGCCTTGAGAATTCCTTATGGCATGCTATTCTTCAGGGTGTCTGTGCCCACCTATAGCTCAGAATCCATATTGGCAAGGGGAAAGGTCTCAAGAGTAGTTAAGTACCACCGTGATGTGAGAGAAGAGGTGGCTCCAGACAGGAGAGAAACCTCTGCAGGATCCATACCCTGTGAGATGTATGCCTGGGGTCAGCAGTCTCACAAGGAGGTGAGGGCAGAGGAGGTTTAATGAAAAGCATCTTAATGCCAGAAATAAAATTTTAAGGCCAGAGACAGCTTCTCATAGAGCATTTCTGCTAGTTAGCCTTCAGAAAAGTGCAGGCTTGCACTCCAGTAGCCTTTGCTTTCCCAGACCCCTTATGGGTATTCCAGGCTCATATTTTTCTTCTCCTGGGACAACAAAAACCACACAAAGTGTAACAATAATTTCTTCTCTCCCATTACAACAAACGCTTGGATTGAGCCTAAACCAAATGAAAGCTGGTGTGAGTTTGTGCCCTTACTTCTCTAGACCTTTCCATGGGATTATGGAATAGGCTTCTTTGAAATCCCTGCTACTTTCTCCTCCTGTCTGTCCATTCTTTCCTGAGACTGCTTTTCCTTTCATCATCTCTTAACAGCAGGTGAGAGCCTTTCTGTTTTGTGGCTTCTGGTTTCCATGTCAGAAGAGCCTCCTGATCAGCCCCAGCTGATGTTCAGGCTTTCTGGTCGATTCGTCTTTTTAGGGACTTCCTCTCTGGAAAGAGACTTTACTCTCAGCTATGTCTTGGGGGATTTCAGTCTAATTAGAAGATAATCAGAATTTTACAATCTTTTATCATTATTCCTAGCAATTTCATTCCAGTGATTAAAAAAAAAAAAAAAAAAAGGAAATACCAAGACAGACATCCCACTCAAAGCAGAATTTGCAGTGGTGCAAGATATTGAATATCAGCATCAAACAATTTGAAACAGGTTGGTAGAAATATTTTCTAAACAATTACACACCCTACTAATACCATACTAATGATACTGAACCATTTGCTTGTCTGCAATTCAAAGTGCTGCATTTTTAATATCCTGGCATCACAGGTCTCTATCTGCACTTATATCCAATCACAACTCCCCTGAGCCAAGTAATTCCTGCTGCTGGAGATACTGTCTAAATATCCTAGATTGTATTTACTGTGCAATGCATTAAACAATCCTGAATCACTCCCAGGGGAATATTCTAGTTCACTCCCTGTGCAGTTGTGCTCTCCAGCAACTCTTGGGCTGCAGCCAGGTGTTACTCAGAAAAAGTTCTGATGTGAAGCCCCCAAATATCTTGCCTAAAGAAGAACCACAGGATGTATGTAGCTTGTTGGTATTTTTCAGATAATGCTTTCCAGGCTGGATTTACAGCTGACTGTATTTTCCATTAGGCTGTATGGCTGCAACTGCTTCCTCTCTTATTGCAGGTATTTCGGTGTGTGGTTTCTCCTCATTTTGTCAGAGTGGGGTGCACTAACTGGAGTGCTTGATCTTGCACAGAGCAGGGCAGGAAAGGGGGCTGAGAATGAGATGATCAGGGATCTTCTGAGTAGGAAGGAGGGAAAAAGAACCTGAGTTGTTAACCAGGGTCCTTGCATCTAGTTATTGTAAAGGTCAGAAAAGAGTCCAGCATGCATTAAAACATTTTCTTGAGAGCACTGTGTGATGGAGGTCTCGTAGCTCTTCATTGGCATCCCCTGCAGTCAGGTCTGTAGCAGAATTCCTGAGTTAGCACAGGTGCTTCACACCCACCACCCACCGGTGTTTCATGGCTTTGGAGCAACTCCCAGTGCTTCTTACTTCCACATGTGTGTGTATATGCTGTGTAGGTGTTTTCTCTGCCCTCTGGTGTGGGAGGTGAGGAGCTCAAAGCTCTGTTTTCATGTACTACTTACTTGCTTTTTACTGTTTTCTAGGCATCTACTTGGATGCCTGGAGGGGAAGAGACACAACTCTGGTTTGTGTATGCAGCATGTTTCCCCTGCATCTTCCAATCCCAACCAAGGACAAGTTGGGTCCTATACCAATAAAAATAGATGCTACACTTGATCTCAGCCTAAAGGCACTGCTCTGGAGGCAGGATGTTTGACTAAAGTTGGTGGGATTGACTTTGTTCAGATGTTCCTATGGTACAGTGCAATCCAGCAGTGACCTGGGGGATGGCGTAGGGATTGCAATGAGCACCTGCTGTTTTGAGGTGCCTGTTTTGGCAAATCCAGAAGTGAGGGGTA